CTGTGCCTTCTCGAGAACCTCCGCATCGCCAGCGTACAGTCTCAAGATTTTGCTTTCCGCCTCCCGCGCAAAGGTGTAATCGACGATATCCAAGTGCCCATATGCGTAAACACTGTAATCTCTGAGACAGCGAAGAACGAACTCGCGGTCCCTGTAGAATCGCTCCGGCACGCATCCCGGACACATCAGCAAAGCGATAGTGCACATGCCTTTCAGTTCACGAAAACCGGAAAAGCAACACTGGAGGAGCTGAGGATATCTAGCTGTAACAATGATACGCACGAAGGAAATTGGGGTTATGCCGTGCATGAGACGCAGGCCGCGAGCGTTGTACCTCCCGATCGTAGAGGCGCTGCGTGTAATTTCATCTTCGAACCTCAATGGGACCCACTTTACTTGGCACAGGTCGTAGCTCGCACAAAACGGAACGATAGCTGAGAAGTCCCGAAAAGTGGGCAGAAATCCGAGAACTGGGCCGTACGCTGACGCAAGGAAAGCAAACTTTTCTCGCTTACGGATTTTCCACGGCGCACAAGCGGTGATATCGCTACGCCCCAGCATAATGGCATCCGTGATAAGCTCTTCGTGCTGGTCTCTGAACCCGACAGGGCAAAACCGTAAGAGATCAACGTGTGCGGAAGAGCGAAAGAAGTGGCTCTTTGCGGCGGTTCCCCTGCGAGTTGATTGCTCTAGGTTTGGGCCAGCCTCCACCGATTCCACGACCCCCGACCCGTCTCCAGCAGTTTCCTCTACGGCTCTGCTGCTGCCGCATTCGAACAGAAGGAACAGAGAGGCGACCCACTGGAGCAATCCAGGTCGCTCGCCCTTCTGGTCACGAAGCTCGGAAGGCCGCTCTTGGGCTTCTTGGGCTGCACCTACCACGCCTTCGTCAGGTAGGCTCGATGCATTGCTCTCTTGCTCAGGTGAACCCGAAACAGGGGCTTCCTCTTTATGAATAGATTGGCTTCGTGCCTCCTCTACCGAATATTGATAAAAAAGAAGTGCTGCGTGCCGCAAAGCATATGTCCGCTGCCCCTTTTGCCTCTGGGCCCACGGAGGAAGCATTTGGTCTCTAACCCATCTTTCGCGCACCTCCTCACCTGATAGAGCCTTTCGGGCTATGCGATCCGAGATCTTGCAGCACGCTGCTATGTGGACCAGAGACTCCCGCTGGCTCTCCAGAGTACGCCACGAAAAGGCAGTGAGATCGACCACCAACAGTATTTCATGTTGCCCATCCGCACCAAAGCGAGCATGCGGCGTTCCCGCCGTCAGAGAGCCCTCTAGCTGCGGTGCTTCGTTGGCACGCCGAAAAGAACTGATGCTTTCCTGTATGCGGTCGCTTCCATTGCATTCGACCCATAAGCTGGAGCCCTCTTCTATTGCGCCTGATAACTCTCTGGCAGCGTCGCTCTCAAGTACCTCGGTGAAGTAGCCGATCGACCCATCCCCAGAAGAGGTCGGTTGACGCCGATAAAATTGGATCAGTGTCATCGGCGGAGGAAAAGCTTCGTCTGGCCATCCGTCAGCAACGCCGTCGAATATTGCTTGATAGGCACACCGGCGCAGCTCGTCGAAAGTTTCGACGGAGCGCCACTCCACATCAAAGATTGACACTGGTGATGCGCTTGGATCTTTGAATCTCGTTGGAATCCTCATCGGGTGGAGCGGAGTCGCATCAGCAAGCCACGTCCTATAACGGTCATACTCAACTCCATCGACCACATTGTCGCGTAGTATGCTCACCCTAAAATAAGGAGCGGAGCCCTCTACTGCCGCCAGGTCGAGTTCGATTTCCGCGTGGTCGAGCGGGTATGAACAGGAAGAAGGCCCCAAGCCGTCTCTCGGCAGGCTTGACATGCTCGAGGATAGAACCACGCTCGGGGTAGACTGATCATCATTCCCTTGCCCTTCCTGTTGCTGGTGCGAAAACGGAAGATGCAAAGCATTTTCGACCTCCTTCTGTACACACTCAGGCAACTGTGGGCAAATGTAGCCGTGCAGTGAAGAAGCAGCATCCGGCGGCAACTGCTTTAGTGCCTTTAGGGTGTCAATGCCAAGACACTGCTCGAGATCCCCCCGAGTGGTCGGATGTCTCTGGACTTTTTCACACCGTGCCTGAAGATGCACTGGCAGCACATGCTTATATTTACCGGATGGATACTGGTACTGGTTTTCGAAGCAGGTATGCTGTAAGCACAATCGCACAAAAAGAGGATCTGTGCGAGCAAACTGGGGAAAAAAATGTAGCACAGGCCCACAGGATGCAGCATGATACGCGAAATGCTTATTGTTCAGAACCCTATCGGACGCGATGCAGACCAACAGTGGATGGTGTTTCGCTACTTGAAACATGAGACTCAAGTTGTCCGTCACGGCGTACGGTGCGACCAGAAGTCTCGTCGCATATCGCCACGAATACCTATTGAAATGCTTGATTGATATATCCGTGATTCGCATGTCTGTCAACGAAAAACATAGCTGGCTCGAACTGCGCAACAAAAAAGGCTCCACACGCAGAACAGCAGCTCTACCCTAATCTCAAGAATTTCTGAAACAAGTTAACTTTAACAACAAGGGGTCAATATCTAAACCTCCTAATGCGACTGCTGCGCATAGATGAAATAGAAAAGAATTGGCGATACGTTGCCTGTGACGAGAAAGAGCCCTTTAGTTCTATGTCAGAGATGTCAAGAAATAGATTATAGATACAACTAACTCAGCCGATCAATACACTGACTTGCCGGGCCCTAGTTGAGGCGGTGGCGCAAGCTGGTCTAAAAGCCACGGGTCTGGCTTTCCTTCTGGGGGTTTGTATCGTGCCTCGCGCTGACTCCACATTCGGCCGCAGCCACGCAGTACAAAGTCTGCGAGCCGCTTTTTCGTTTTACTCAAGATAGGCTCGCGCTCATAGTCGAACATCTGCGTTCCACCCGGATCTGGGACCTGCTGGTCACAGATGCTGTCAGAGAAAAATGCAAGCTCATCCAACCGCATCTCGTCGGCTTCGTCATCCATAGATGAAGACCTCATGCGAGTTTCCGCAGTGTCGAGACACGTTGCAGTGACTTCTTCGACAATCTGATCGATCTTGCGAGAAAACCCATAATAGTAAAAACACGTTATCCAGTTCCTTACCGCTCGCTGACGGTAACACCCATTGACCCAATCGTTATCGCCAAATGGAGAAAAAATACTGAGCGAGTGCGCACCGGCTGGGAGAACGTCCAAGCCACGCAGAATTGCGTCTTCGCAGACGTCAACAACAAGAAACAACCGAAGGCAGCCGCTCTGCGACGTTGAGTGAGGCCTCTTTGGTGTCAAGATGCGGGAAAAGCCGTCTGGTGATGCTGACCCGCACCATAGCAGAAGAGGCCCATGTCCATCACCACCCGTGTCAGACGAGCGACCTTGATGTTGTACAGCTCTTTTACGGGGGCTCATATCATCGTTTTCGTGCGCGACAAGCTGGAATAAAGAAGCGTCTGTTTTTCCTTCATCAAAAGAAACTTGCATACACGAAACCGGTAGGGCCGCATTCCAAGGAAATATCTGCCGCAAGTGTAGGTGAATACTGCGCGCAATCTCGCGCCCACTCATTTTTTCGCCATGCCCCTCGTCGTTGTACGAGTGCGAAATGCTGAAGCTTATACCATCCGATGCTAGGTCTGACGATCCGACAATTCCAGAGACGAACGGCCTGGGCCTACGTTGTAGTAGGCCAACGCGGGCATTATCATCATCATCATCATCATCATCATCTGAGCCATCATCTAGTCTTGATTGAGGATTTTTCGGGGTGGGTTCGTACATCAATGCAACATTCTTCGAACCTTCTCCTCCGCAGTCGCGCGCACTGCTCACTCCTTGCGGCAGGGCTCGTCTGGCAACAGAGACGCAACACTGAATTGCCCCCTCCATTGCATATGTCGATGGCTGTGCGATTCTCTAACCGCTCTCAACTGCGAATTTTCAATCGGTTTTCTCATACAAATCTGCCGCATTTTCGTTTTCCTTATTTTGCTGCTCAAGTCTAGTCATATTTCGCGAGGCTACGCCAAAATCGGTCGAGATACAAGCTTTCTTCGAAGAGGATCGATCATCATGAATCACATCCATGCTATAAACGCAAGAATATCTTGATAGGAAGATCTTACGCTTACTTAATTGGATCCTGTTCCCGTGGTGGCTTTAGGTGGCGTCCCTGATCAGGGGAAGACAACCCGCCCGTAGGAATCTATGTACTATAAGTCTGTTATCAACACAATCAGGGAGAATGCTATTGCTAGAGCAACACTTACTACTTTGCGACTATAGTATATGAAGTACTTGAGCGTGCTTAATATGGATACAATTATTACAACACCAAGGAAAATACTTCTGGCAAAAGAACAACTTGAACTTCTATCAACACTGCTTCCCAAAAAGAACGAAAAGGGAGAAACGAGAGCAAACTTTCCTGTGCAAAAACTATTTAGACTCGGGATGGTGCGCGCTGGCGGTTCGGGACATCTATGAGTGTGTGAATCTTCAATCATGTTCTGATTGAATGGGAACTACTTAGGAATGCTAAAACGCTACGATCTCAGGTGGAGCGTTTTCTGGTCGTTTGGAGTGATCGTCGATCCAATTAATTTCCGGTGATTGGTGATCTGATTCTTGCCTCCTAAGCGTATCATGGTTTCTCTCTCCTATCAATCGCGCACTTTTTGAATCCACACAAGAAAGTAGCGATAGTTCTAACATATCCCTCCTGTCGTGCTGCCACTCCTCTAAATCTTTCTTCTTCTGCTCGCAGTACGCTGCTCTCAGCCAGACCACAGCAGCTCTCGTCTTTAGCCTGACCGATTACAAAAACCATAAAATCTTCTAGACCTGATGACCGATAGAAATCCTGTCAACACTTAGAGAATCCGAAACATTTTTATTTCTCTCTCATTCCAGTGAACAAGTACTACTGCTCGAACAAGTCGGGATGAAGGTAAATTCTAGTTTTGAAGATACATGTACACATATGACTCGGGGTTAACCAAGCGTACACTTCGTGTCACGCTGGAATAAATTGATAGTGGTCGGTATAGTTTTTGGGGTCGCGCTCGCTGGTCTACGCCTCCAAGAAATGCCAGCATTCAACATTCTGCTTAGTACAGGTGCGACAATCACGTCGACCAATTGTATATTTGATTCTAACCAGAGCGCGCCTCTCTTCTGCGGCCTGTTGCCTGCGTTCATCCCCAAGAAAAAAGTGCGGGTGCGTGAAACTTGAAAAAATTATACCTCCAGGCTTTGGGGATTACGGGACAGCATGTGGTTACGGGTACGGCTACGGGACAGATTGAAGAGTAAGTGTTTGATCCATGTGCCTACTTTTACCTACAATTACCGCCAACAAATTGACTGCGCAAGAGCTGACGAGGATTTCGATCTGGCTGTCAAAATTATACACAAGACATCTATGGGTATGGGCGAAAATCCGCTATAAAGCTATACATAGATACGAGCAGTAGTTCATGGGACATGGCTTGTGGTGAAAGGGTGTGATAGCCAATAGATGGCATGGCCTGCAGTATCTTTACAGCTGGCGATCTCATCTTCATCGTGATACTCTTTCTATTCGTCCGTCGAGGTTTCACCATTTTTATCGCTGGACTCGGGTGCATTAGTACTAACTTCGTCTTCATTAGACGAACCACTCTGACGGTCTTCGTTTTCACCACCCTCCTCAGCCTCTGACCCGGTGGCGTTCTCGTCATCATCTGAAGTCCCCTCGTCGTCGCTGTTTTCATTTGAGGTCGAGTCCGTGCCATAGTCATACCCGTCATCGTCGTCGCTACTCCCAAAGAAATCCTCAAAGGGCATTTCCATCAGTTCTGTGAGGCGTTCCAGGTTCCGCTCATCCAGATGCCTCTCCGCGACTGCTTTCCAGTCCTGTCCATCATGGTTCTTGGCTGTCATGTCCACATTCCGTTCCCGCAGGCGCATCACTATTTCTTGTAGAGCCCATCTGAAATCTTCATTGCGTGAGGATTCTGGATCATAATTCTTTTCCAAAAACGTGGGCCAAGGAAGCACCTTTACGCTATTCGACTCTACGTCCCAGCGCGGAAGCCCCTCTGGCACCTTTCGATGAAGGAGCCAAAGAAGGGGAGTATTTCCTGTAAGTGGATCTTGTACATCGACGTCCACAGTCTTGCAATCGCGCAGAATAGCGGCAAACGACTTATGTAAAAAATTCCTTCCTGCGTAGAGCAGGGCGGTTTGTCCGTCATTGTCGCGATCATTGATTTGCAGCTGCTCGTCAGTATACGATCGGGTCAGAAAACACGCAACTCCACCGCGGCGATAATGGTCGCAGCCATCATAGACACCAAACCAGATTTCGGGTGTGCAACATGCAAGCATCAGCGGAGTGCGCCCTAGACAATCCTTCTGCCAAATGAAATGCCTACGGCGAGCTAAAGAAGTGCTTTCGCCATCCTCGGGACTCTGGTGACTACACGCTGTACTCGCGCCAGTCAAACTGCGGTCAGGATCGGATACCTCACTCTCGTCTGGCCGTTCGACGGGAGAGTGCGTCGCCATCGCGCCGGCAGCAAACCAATTTCCGGCGTAGCACGCGGCCGCAAAAAAGGTAGTTTGCTCAGCAAAAGCAGCTTTTTTGTGCCTGTGCGTGCGTGGAGTGTCACCATCACAGCCTGCATGAGCCCTACCGCACTCGCAGCCATGGGTCGTGGCTGATGCCTCCTCAGAGTCAGAAGCCGCAGCAACAAATTCCCCTGCAATATTTCCACGAGGAAAATACCTCTCAGTGCGCCGACTCAGCATGGAAAACAAAGACAAGTCTTCCGCCATAATTGCATAATGGAACGCAGAAAACCCATAGACGTCGCGCACCCGCAGAAGCAAGCTCATCGCTTCCAGACGAGGCTCGCTCACTCGCCCGACCGACGCTCCGCGTTCATCGCATACAACCTCGAGATGCTGCTTAAGTAAAATATGAAATGGAACTAGACTGCTGATGACGTTAATCGAACGATTGTAAAACGGTACGTCCATGAGAACTGTGCGCAGCCTCCTTTTATCTGAGTAGACTGACCAATCCCAAAAGGCAGCTAACAAAACGTCTTTCAAATCATCTTCACGTGAGTAGCCTTGGTTCCCAAGCAGTAGGCAGAACTCCAGAAAAGACATCGACGAGCCTTCGAGGCGAAACTCGCTCCGCACAACGGGCAAAAGCGTAGCGTCGTCTGGTCCTTGAACGCATGACGAACGCGCCACAACACCAGCACGGCTATTCCCTTCCCAAGAGGATTCATGGCTCTGTGTCTCCCTCGTGCCACGGGCAACCTTAAACTTACTCATCGTCATCGGCTTTGTGAAGCCGCCCTGGCCTACGTCAGGACGCTGGTTCGACTGATGCAGCAGGAAGTGCATAATGTCCTGTAAGACAAAAAAAATGTCATCAGGCAACACAATGCCTTCGTCAGCACGGTAAAGACCGAGATCGTGGAAAGCGGTCAAAAATATCTTCCACTTGTTTTGCTCCTGAATCTTCGAGTTGCAACCGTGTGCGATTGCACCTCCCATGCATGCCCTAAAGCCGTTTGAGATGCATTTGCTAGCACCATGATTTAATGGATTATTTCATTACGGAGCCCAGACCCTTACGAAAGGTTCATTATCTTTCATTGCCGCAGAAGTTCGTTTAAGTATACTAACTATCGTCCTCATCAAATGAACTCAAAAACACGTACAAGTGGTTGCTTAGCGAGTTCATCATTACAATGGTTGGACGAAAAGGAAGATCATCTATTTACATGATGATGATGATGTTGTTGTCAACGATATTAAATAGCATGTACTTTTTCATCAACAAACACAAAGCCTTTATTTTGACGTAGAAAATACCGCGCCCAGTCGGCTCTGCAATTGGCGCATGGCGAAGGTCCGACACAACCGTCAGATAGGTTTGCCTCCTCGTCGCGGATTCCTTCAGAGCATTGATCCCCCTCTTCTACAGGTATTGCTACGGTGTCGTCGTCGAGGTCATGGGTTTTCTCCACTAACGGAAATATAGTTGTGATCTCCCGCGCGTACCCTAATGCTTTCTGCGTCACGTTGGAAACTTTTTTCTCGAAATGCAGATTCTTTCGAAGCACATCAAGGGTGTCAGCTCGAGGTACGAGAAACCAATTTTCATTTGGAAGAAGAGAAACAGCGCGCGAAGTGTTATCTTCATTGCTCGCGTTCTCGATCAATATTCGAACCTCGTAATCGGCGGTGTCAGTTTCTTCGCCATACAGGAGCACTGCGCTCAGTGGAAGAACACCTAAGCGTTCATGCACAACATCGACAAAGCGGTGGGATGGTATTTCCTCTATCTCTTCGCTTTGGCTTGCCGCACGCATCCTTTCGAAGGCACTCTGCCGCAAGTCAGCAACAAGCAAGCGTTGGGTAAACGTCGCTCCGCCAGATTCCAGTGCTGCAATAGCAGCATCGCTTTCGGGACGTCCGAATCGCGCGTTCGTTGGTCTCGGCGGCGTGTTCAGTAACTCTCGTAACTGCACCAAAAGCGAGTTGCGGCTGTCGAGACCAAAAGATAAATGTATATCGAACATTTTGTCCTGCGGGGATTGTTCTTGAATATTCGGTGATCTCTATCTTCCATGAGCACTTGAACTTGTTGCTTCACGCCTTAAAAATCTGGAATCGATCAGAATGTCACCTCCCGTGGTCACGCAACCGAGGCTGCGACACCACGCCAAGAAATCTTCTAGTTATAAGCAAACCACAACTCACTCGATAGATGTTAAGCGGAAGTAAACAATTTCTGCTGACCCTGAACCTGTATTTTCTATCGAATTACCCCTGCGACTCACCTGAAACTGAGATGAAGGCCAATCGAATGTCTGCGCCGATGGCTCTATCTCTAAGCCTAGTGAACATAAAAGAGCTAAAGAAAAAACCAACAACGACCCCCCCAAACTCTCACTCTTCCACTTCCGAGCCCCAGCCTCTCACCCATCCACTTCCGAACCCCCAACACCCGAACACGCCAAAGCCCAAACTCATGAACTTGAACATCTGAACTTAGGAACTTAAGAGCCGAAGAACTTATGATCTCATCTTCTGAACTTAGGAACTTATGTATTGGCTTATGAATGAGCTCCCAAACTCAAACTTACGAACCGACGGCCTTGGGCTTCAAAGCTTCAGCCCGAAGCCTACAGCGCGCCACCCTGGTGCTTAGGTTTATTGCGTTGGCGATAAAGTTAAAAACTTTGGGATTTTGCAAAGTCTTACTTAAATTGAAGCCGCCAAAATTTTTGATTTTATCCAAGGTGGATAAATTTCAAAAAATTCGCTGCAAAGTCTTTCATTGCCTTGAGCAGCTTGAAGCCTACAACGCGCCACCCTGGCGCTTCCGTTTATCCCTTCGGTGATAAAGTTAAAAGCTTGAGGATTTTGAAAAATTAAGTCGATGCTTCAACTCTGAAAGCACGAAAGAAAGTGGCGAAGTGTCCCGGACCGGCCTCGTCGTATCGCGGGCTTGACGCTTCTTAGCCAACTTGTTTTGTGTGGTCGGATGACCACCTCCACGACCTTCTTCTGTGGCCTTGGATGGCGCATCGTCAGCATTGGAAATCTCGACAGCGGCATTGAAATCGTGCCATTGCCAGCTGGTCGCGTTACCGGCACACTTCTTGTCAAAAATCTCATACCGTTCGAGCCCACAATGGGCAAGAGCAGACTGGAGTGGAATGCTGCCCAGATCAGTATTCCGAAACTGTCGACGGGACTACTTAATGCCAAGCTTCTCTTCCGAAGAAGGGCTCGCTATTAATCTGAAGTAGTTTATGAATGGGACGCCTTCCCGAGGGGACGAAGCATCCGATGCGAAACGAGAGCGCTATCTTGTCAGGCAAGAGCAGACTGATTGGAAGGAATATTAGACAGGCACTCACACCAACTTTTTAACGAAACGGTGCCCGGGCATTGCAATAGTAAATGCTTGATGTGCCCGAATTCTCCATGAGTTGCACCACGGAATCTCGCAAATATTCATGGCGGTGTTCAACACTTTCTTGCCCTTCTGCAACTGGGGCTACGGTCTCTTGCGCATGGCAACGGCACACGTTTGCAGGAATGGGTGTGAACGGGCGCCCCTATTAAAGCCGCTTGCAGCTTCAGACTGTTGGCGTCTTCGTTGATGGAGGAAGCAACGCAGGAGAGGCTGCATCAAACACCTATTCGTCTCCATCGGGAATCGGTGGAGCTCGAAGATTCTGTAGATGTAGTATTTTTGTTGTATCGGAACTTCCGAAGTTTTATCATCAGATTATTTGCTTCCCTTTTTGCGAAGATTACCTGACGCGCAACTGATCTTAGAAGTTAGTATCGTCTTCTCTGAATATGTGACAAATGCTTGCAGCCTTAAAAGAGACTGGCACTCGGGAATTTAGTCGATAAATCAATAGAACATCTTACTACTGTCTTGTCACCAACACCACGTCACGTTATCTGCGGGAGATGAATATGCATCATGATAGTACCCTTTTGTCAAGAATGTCCAAAAATCCTTCGTAGCTTTCGGCTCGCTTTTCCGTAGGGTAGAGTTCGTCTATAATATCGTAGATCGTAGTCTTCTCGTCCAGCATCAAGCAGGGACCCGATACATGGTGCACGTAGAGACGATCCACCTCTTGAAGAGTATAGTCATCCTGCAGGTCAGCCAGCGGCACGTTCCTTAAGCGGTAACCCTTTTCCAAGGCCATATGAGCCAACGCAAAAGCTTGCTCTGGTGCTGTGTCTTGCAAGGTCTGCCATCCCGTGAAAAAGTCAAGAAAGAGACGGGGCTGCTCTTCACTCAAACTAGCGCCACGAGATGTGCTTGTGACTGTGATAACGTCACCAAACTTATCCAACCAGTCGTGCTGCTGAAGTGCACATCCTAAGCGGAGTAGTCGATACACAAATCGGACATCACCACGCAATCGGTCCGAAGCAAAGCCAAAAGCGCGCCCCGTGTTCGTTGTCGCAGTAACCACGGCCTCAGCATTATCGCGCAAACACCCGGCGTACTCCAGTAAGTTACCGTTACAGGCCAAGGCGGCTACGATCAATTCTTCCAGTGCCGAGGCTGTTTTCGTTCTCTCAGGAGTGGCAACACTACCAGGCAACGAAGACCCCGCAGACCCTCCGTAGCCGAAGCTTTCAATCCATGCTCTTGATTCAGGATTGCGAAGCATGTTCGTCAACACCGCGTGAGGCCTTTCACACGTTCGGACAACTTCGCGAAACTTCTCGGTCCGAAATTCAGCTAGTAGGCGTAAGTCGCGTGTGTAAACTCCCGAAATATGCTCTACTACGAGGTTCCCTGACGCTTCCATCGATCGCAAAAGAAAATCGATGTCAACATCAATGTCCACGTCAGGATCTCCTCGTCGTGCTCTTTCAGAAGAGATAATCTGTCGCAAACGGTTGTAAACCAATCCCCCACCACGTAAAGCAAGCATTGCGAGCTCATCATCGTAGGTCTGAAGATACTCTGCAGGAATCTTGTCATCCGAGAGCAGCAGTTTTGGGGTTTTCCCGACTGCGGCAAGAACTACGCTACGAATCGGATCGATCACAGCGTCGACAAGGTTTCCATCCTGTGATACAACAACTTTCGCGAGGTCCTGGTCTCGTCGAAGCTCCTTTGAAACGTCAGCGAAAACGTTGGGATCCTGTCGCACTGCCAACTCCACAAGCTCGCGATCTTCCCGAAGCTCGCGAGAGCAGCGAAAAAGGGCACGGCCAGACACTTGAACAACTTTTTGCACGAAGTCACGATCGTCCAGAAGTTGAGCACTCGCATATCCAAATGCATCTCCGTCCTGAGCGCATGCTGCCAACACCAGATCACGCTCGTCGTCGTCGCCGTGCAACTCCTCCGAGATATGCGCCAGAGCAAGTCCATGATTCCTCACAGCAGCAAGAGTAAGCTCCTTATCGCGACGCACGTCGTCATCGCAATGGCTGAGGACCCATCCATTCGTCGACAAACACGACAGGAGGAGTTCACGGCAGCTGGCACCACTGATTGAAAAATTTGGATCTCTGGAGCTGTCGAAAAAGATTGAATCTCCTGATCGGGATCGGAGTGTGAGCCTTTTTACGAATTTCCCAACGAAATCCATCATGCCGTACATCTCGTTTGCAAGCACATCCGTCTTTATAACAGCACCACTGACTACAACTGCCAAATCAGGAAACTCGTCGAAAAGCCGTTCCGCATTGAGGTAACAGAATCGAAGAGCCCACTCACGGCACGAATCACCCTCTCCTACGCAATGGGCTTCCAAAAAGGATCGGCTCCACAAAATCTCGTCTTGCAGATCTACTGAAAGGCGCATGCAGCCTTCATGATCGAGCTGAAAAGCGGCCTTCAGAATCTCAATGTCCTCGAGGATATACCGAGGGGTCCTCTCTTCGTCCTGAAGCAGCTTGCAAACCCACTGGCAAACTATCCGATCGCAGCTGGCTTCATACCGATGAAAACGCCAGCGCGGGACTTCGGCGCCCGTCCTTCCCCTGTCTCTCCAGCTGAGGTAGCGAAATTTCTTCAGGCCCTGTAGCGCTTTCAGCCAGGAAGATTTTTCGCTGTCGACACCTGCGTAAATTTGTTGGGCTTCTTCGCCGTCGAGTTCGGTCGTATCAATATTCAGAAGAGCTTGATCAGTTACGTCCTCATCGGCAAAGAGAACCCGCGTGTGTTGCCACGCGACATCAAAAAACTTGGCAGCGATGTTGCGAACGTCCTGAACCGCTACTGTTGCAAGGAGGTCAGAGACATCGGCATCTTCATATAGAGAGCTTCTAGCACCAATAGAAACCGCTAGCTCTCCAATAACGTCACTGGCAAGGGTATAAACGGTTACTCTTGGCGGAGAAATGAATTTACTCCGCGAGGAGACATCAACAGGCGCCAGTGCGTCGCCACAATCGCGACGATTCATCATCTTGATGCTGTTCGTTGCAGTTCTTAATGCAATCGATGATTCTTGAACCATAGGAGTTACTGAAAAATATACAAACAAGACGCAAACGTCGATGATGGATGCCCCCCGGTTCTCCTGTTATGTCTTGAATGGTATCAACAAGCAGGAGTACTTCTCCTCATATAGGTGACGCTCCCTCCCTCCCAACGATGATTAGCTTGGGCGAGGCGAAATGAGAGAGAATATGCGGAAAGAGATACAACAGAAGGACTTATATTATAGAAATCGAGGGACCATAACGAACACATTTCCTCTACACAAAATACGACTAACAGCACTTTATGACTCCTGCACATATCATCTTACTAGGCCTGGTCCACGCTCGTATACAATTTGCACCTGCGAAAGAAAAGACAAAAAGCAACAAGACAAGTCAAGGAAATTTCCACTGAGTTCGAAAATCTCTGTCGTGCAACGAGAACGACAATAACGAATGAAAATTACTTACTGACAGTACTAGTCCCTCTTTAGGTCGTTCCCTAGGAAAAAACAAATATGCGATTCAAGTCGTAGAAACTATAGCTACAACAAATAAGAGGAATGAATATGAAGATCAACTAACTTGTGAAGAACTTCAGCAGCATTGTTGGATCACATGCATTTATCGTCAATCGATCTTGCACCCCATTTCACTTGATCTCGTTTCTGGATTGTTGTGCTACTTTGTCTCTGCTAGTTATAGTTTTTTTGTTTGTTTTGATGCGCTCCGGGCGACGCGTAGTACGTAGTTTTCTTTATCTTTATGCATCTGGGCTAGTTATAGTTTTCTTTATCTTTCTGCATCCTTACTTAAACTTATTACATGCAAACTTTTCAGGATCATCTTCATACAGTAGAAGTAACGGGTAGAAAATAAGTAGTAGATCACGTAATACTAGCTACTGTGATATTCCTCACAACATCTCGAACAGGTCGACCACATCGCTCCAACTCTTTACTTCTTTTTTGGAGTGACCGTTGAGAAACCATACACGATCTTCGACTGATGACCGATCCAAATCACGACAGACCGAGACCGACAGAAGATACCCCCGTCACTGTGAGCATCTGCAGGATTAATCCGAGACAGAAAAAAACTGCAACTGCCCACATTCATAGACAAGCTTAGCAACGGACACGGACGTGTTAACATGGAGGGATCTCATAGCAATTGTAGATACTGGAGTCGTGTTCTGACAGAATCCGAGGCCTCACAAAGTCCACAATCCAGCTGTGAACCCAAAGTAGGGTTCAGCTGCCAGGAACGGCACTCGAGAAAAATCACAAAGACAGAGTTGCGGATACTCCTTGAGGTTAGTCGGTCTGGGACCTTCCGACGAACAGATGAGACAAATATTGATCTCTCAAAACTTACAAGAACATGCATCAAACATATTGAGAGAAGAAAGAGTTTGAGTCTATGGAAGAACTTGGCATTAGCGTACAACAGGTACGGGCGCTGCTCTTCTATGGGGAAGGACAAGGAGGGCCAGCTCCATTGCACATGATGCTGTGAAGCTGCTCTGCATATACGAAGTCGAAAAAGTATACTTTGCATCGGTAACACTCTCAACCCGGCATAGACTGGTGGCTGGCGGGAACAGCTTGAGCTCTTTGGAACTAAGGATGTTCATCTTCCGCGGCTCCTCCAGCACCCTAGGGGAATAGGGGAAGCCACAAGGAACCGGACAGGCAAAGAGAGACGGCCCTTCGAACCGGACGGGACCACGGTGCTCCTCGACGTGTCGTCTAAGGAAGTACTCGTGTTTCACGCCGAGTCAGGTGTCCTCGAAGATGCTATGCCATATAAGAGCATTTATGACTCACCCACCTGCACAGGTCCCAATTCAGGTGGTGGCTACTCTCTACTGAACCAGCGAAATGGGTTTGGGGAGACGACCGCGAAAGCTACAACAAGGACCAGAACTGCCGCAAAGAGAACTAAAACTGATGTGCGGCTGCTGCTCTTCAAGGCAACAGGGGACTGGGGTGCGAGTGAGGTAGCTGACCCGTCATTTTTGGATATCATTCTTGACCCCCCTCGATTTCTCAAGCGATTAAGCAGGCGAAGCATTGAAGGGCCCCTGGGCGGAAAAAAGCCACCCAAACGCTTGCGTCTAGATACTCTGTCGATTTTTTTGGGCAATAACACCATCTTGGCTGGCGTGTCTCCCCTAACCACTTCGCGTAAGCACTTTGCGAATGTGCGACCACGGTATTTCAACGCCAAGGCAAAGCAGTCCTCGCCTTGATTATTTCGCGCTGTAACGTCACAACCGTGCTGTTGCAGAAGCGCCCACACTTCTGTGAGCGGCCTCAGATACGCCTCTCTGCGTGTTGAGTCGTTGTACTTGTCGTACACAGTCAAAAAATAGTCGTAAGATCTTGGTTTGAAATCCTTGTCGGGCCGGCGGGGGTAGCTCCCGTCACCGACTCGTCGAAGCCTTCTGTCTATTGCGTCAACCCTTTCTGACCAAATACGCGTTTCTGCCTCGTGCATGAGCAAAAGAAATGCTGTGTTGCCCGTTGCAGGCTCTCTTCGGTTCACGTCAACGCTGTGGCAGCAGCACTCCAAAATTTTGCAGAAAGAAGCAAAGTGCGCGTTTCGACCCGCATACATTAACGCCGAGCGACCGAGATGATCAACTGCGTTCACTTCCGCAGGTGACATCTCGTTTAGCAATATGTGCGCAGCTGCGTCCCCAGGCCCAGAGTACCGACCCATAGCTGCGCAGCATACTAGGTGCAACGGCGATCGCCCGAATGGGTCCCGCTGACCCAAGAGGAGATGCTTACTGAATCCTGAAAGGGCAAGCCCATTCGAGTTACGAAGCTCCTTCATGCACGCTCTACCTCTATAGCTCTCTGACTTGCTCGTGTCATAGCAAGCGATTAGAAAAGGCCGTAGGACGTGGCCGCATCCTAAATGGCACGCAAGCTGATACGCAGTGATCTTCTGCAAGTACTGAAAGACATCGTGGTCCATCACTTTTGACACATCAGTTGCTGCGTTCTCAACCGCGCTCAGGCCGATCGCGGCTAAGCCGGATTCGCTGCTGCACTGTGCGCCACTGCTTTCCCTGTCTGTGTTCGCATCAAACAAGTCTTCAAATATTTTCTTTGCGAGATCTCGTGGAGTAAGTAGTGGTGGCGCAACGACCGGCGTATCGTGCTGCTTTCCGAGTAACAACGAGATCACTCCGGCATTTCGGTATACAACGGCAAGTTCCAGGGGCGCAAGTCCGCTTTTGTCAGTAACTTGTGTTGCGAGGTGCTGTCCTGTGATGTATGCTTTCACTTTTGCGAAGTCTTCATGTAAAAACAATACGCAACTACGTGTCTCAGGTGTGGCATCCGAGCTTACGGACGAAAATGTTTCTTTGGTCTCTCTTTCGACAATGGTAGATCGAGGATCAGTAATAGCAGGGTGCTGCCGCATTTCCTCCAGCAGAGGAGAAAAACTAAACGCTCTTCCACGGTATCCTCGTGCCCAGTGTCCCTTCCATTCTCGTGGAAGAAAAGAATCGCCAATGTAGCTCATCACTGAGAGCTTGTGGAAGGTAGCTAAATCTGCAAACACGGATCGTCCGTTATTCCCTTGAACGCATGCTGGAGAACCAAAGTCCCAGGGAATCTCTTGAATTACGGAATACATATCGCCCTTCCTGCATTTAGTGAGCTGACTACGACCATCCGCAGCTTCCATAATCAACATTTTAAGCAGAGGCAGTGCAGAACCCTCCAATTCAACTGTGAGCAGCGCGTTCTCTTTGTCGCTGAATCTGTCAGCTGGATGGAGTGATGCCTTTCTCGATCTTAGCTCTATAAATCTTGCTATGTCTTCCAATATTGCCCCAAAATCGACCTCCCTTTCTAAGTCTGAGGATGGTAGGAGTCCTCCGTCAGCAACGGAATACACGCTGTCCAGCAAATCCCGCTCAAGATCATGCCACGGTCTTTGCTCTGCAGGGGTTCTGTACCACGTGTCTTGCCAGCAATAACCCCGGCAGCGTCCACGAGTGAAGTGCAATCTGTTCGGTAGAAAAAACAAACAGTGAAAAACTGCCCACAAGCTGACTCGAAAGAAATTAATAATAATAAATCAGGTAAATTTATTTGACGGCATCAGCACATCAGTGCCAGTAGTAAATACCTAATCCATTTCCGTAGCTTTTCGAAACAGGCACGCTGATTCGTTGAAGTTTTCACGCCAACAACCTCAGGTTCAGATTTCTTTGAGCCACCCGTCTTTGTCTCTTCTCCTGTGGAATGAGGCATTTGCGTGTGCTGCTTCTTTCCATCGTTGCCGAGGCAGCTCTCCTCCTTTTCTACAGATGCACCACCAATACGGACGACACGAGTTAGAAGATGCTCCAGTTGTGAACGAGACGACCCTTCCCTCCAATCCATTCGGACTCCTGCTTGTGAAAACGAGGCCGGAATCAACCTGGTTGTGAACTCTAACCGACGTTTAAAGTTTTGGAGCATCTTGTGCTGCAGCGCAATAGTCAACAAAGGCCGATCGCTCGCAGGAAGGTCCACGAACCTGCCCGAGCCATTCTCTCCTTGCGGTGAAGGGAAAAAGAGGCGGACACGCGAGACTGCACTTTCTTCCCACGGAAGGCTCAGGGCCGTTTCCTGGGTCATCCACGAGTGGCGAGCAGATGTTTCCACAGTGTCACCGTCCCCGCTAGTACACTGTCGCTCTGTGCCCGTCTCATCACGAAGATCATTTGCACAGCCGCCGCTGGGGAATGCGGTACGGACCATGAGGCCTACATTACTCCCCAAAGCGCCGTGCCCCGCAACGATCACTGCGAGGAAGCGACTCGATGGCACACAATGATGATCAAGAAACTCAGCCGCCGCAGGCTCTGCAAGCAGCTTAAAAAACACCAAGCGACTCAGCTCCGATACTGTCACATATGCAAACGCATGGTCCCCGGGGTACCCCACCTGCGCGTCGTAATCAGATTCATCCAGTAAAATCCCGAGCTCTCCGCGTACTAGGTCCGCGACCTCGGGGGTGTCTCGAAGCCGTGATCGATAACGCTGACGTCCAATGCTGAGCGCGATGAGCTCTTTTAGTTCTACTCGAATGGAAATTTTTTCCACCGGAGCCCGGCCATCACCACAGAAGGATGTATAATCGATCTGCTCCCAGCTTCCTCGTCTCTGGCCACGAAAATTAAGCTGAAAATCCATGTTATAGATTTTGCTTTACAACATTTACATGTATGTGATAAACTAAGTCGCAAACTATGTATATACAACAGATAATACTTGAAAATGTACGATTATCAACTTTGAAGATAGATAAAAGAAAAAAAACTAAAAATGAATTGACTCATCGCTATACACAACTCCTGAAAGACAAAGACAACGACCTTGGCTGGTTATATACGTAAATACACGTCATTCGAGCTACTACACTTCTAAAAACTGTTCTTCACCCAAGAAAGAGAACGTGACAGGGGCGCCTATATCTTATTGACATTGCCTGTGCAAAAACTAGTATGAGAAAAGAAATCACAGGCTCGGAGAATCTTCTATGCATCTATTCGATGTTTCAGTGAAAACCGCCTACACATACAGCTAAATCGAAGGTCTCAATGTATGATCTCATTTGCAGTTTGTCCTTTTATTGATCGCATTGATCGTCCTTCATCATCCAGACTATTTCAGAAATTCTTGTCTAATAGACTATATTCGATCTGCCACCTGTTATCCTCATCTTGGTCGTGTTAAGAATGTGCATCTACATCTTTCCCTTTGTTTTACATCTGTTCTAAGATGATACAATTGTAGTCGCAAAAGATACACAGATGCCTTAAATAATTGGTGCTGGTACTCTCCCTCGTCGTCGAAAATTCTTTAGTTTCTCGCAATGTAGTCATGCCACCGTCGTCAAGCGCGAAATAATTATCATCTTCACACTGACCGATAACAGCGACCACAGAGATATGCAAGTAAAGATGCCGACTCATACTACAGATACAAACTTCATGTTCTTTGTTGACAATTGAAAATCCTTTTGCTGATACATCACTGATGAGAGAGCCGAAAGGACGAGAACGAGATCACTTGAATTTGCTTCGGAATCAATAAAAGCAAGGAAAAACCTCAAGCAGCGTAACGGTGGGTCACTACGGTTTTTGATGTACCCATTGATTTCTGGGGTCGTGGACAGAATCATCATACACTATCACTATGTAAGCTTTTCTAGCAAACAAGTCAGTGCTGATTACTTTCGCATTGGCTAAAGGGAAAAGAAACCGTGGGAATCATCTTCAATGTACTCCTTGTTGTCTATGTATAGATCCAGCATCAACTTCTTCTACATCTACGTACCTTTGTTTTCTATGAATATAAAAAATCTATCCTCATGACTAAACCCTAGCTATGATCTATCCTCAGGACTAAAGTGCTAGGAGGAAATGTACGAAGATGAATCATCCTCCGAGTCCTCATCTGAAGAAAAAGAATTCCCCTCGATAGCCTTTTCGAATGCGCGCACATAATCTTCACTGAGGTTTTTGGACGCGACCGCAAGCCAGTCTTCGCCTTTATTGTTTTTCGCAGCTAAGTCAACGCCGTGCTTTTGAAGAAGGTGCCAAATCAACTGAACGGCAGTGACATAGCAACAATCTGTGGATTCAGCGGTGGGGTCGTAAAACTGCTGCTCGGATACGGGATCATCAAATGCATGACGCCGACTGTTAGGGTCCTTCCATAATTCTGGGCCCCAGAAGTGCGCATAAAGAGCTTCATCCATTTTGTCCACTTCTTCATTCCAGAGTGGCCGCGCGTTGCGTCCGTGCAAGAGCAATAAAAACGGAGTGTTTCCAGTCGCCGGATCTTTTTGATTGATATCAACCGACGGACAGCGCCTGAGCATCGCGCAAAAAGTTTCCGTAATGCCATTTCTAGCTACGTACATAAGTGCGGATCTTCCAAACGAGTCGAGTGCGTCAACCTCTCCTGGCTCCATTTCTGCTGCTAAAATTTCACTCGCGGTTTCATTTCCCCGACCATGAGCCACACAGCATGCCAAGTGCAAAGGAGATCGACCAAAACTGTCCCGCTGCTGCAGCAAGACGCTCTTGGAGAAGCCCGTAAGCTGCCCCTGACCCTCGGCTGATCTCAATACCATTGGATGACCAAAGGACCCGCCTCCTCCAGGCATATCAAAGCTGCGATTGTAGCAACTGCTAAAAAAGGCTGATACAGCATTGTGCTCTCCTACGTGACAAGCGAGTTGAAAAGCCGTCAGAGACTGAACGTATGACCAGTGCGCAAGAGTCGTGGTCGCGACATCAGACGTAAACTCACGACACTGATGTTGTTGTTGTTCTGCAGATGAAGCTTGTTTTCCCTTGTCGCTAAGATCCGGCTTTCTTCTTTCGCGTGACAAGCCGTCGCCAATCTTTTTCTGTAGCTCTGCGACCTCTACAAGGGGCGGAGATACCCTACTCTTATGATGCTGTGATCCCAGCAACCACTGAAGCGCATAGATATTGCGGTGCAGTACCGCAATTTCCACAGCAGAAAGCCCAGCCAGATCAGTTTTGCTGGCTAACTCGCGTACTCGGCTGGGGTCGCATGCCCAAGAAACGTCCACCCGCAAGCACTCTTCATCAGCTTGTGGAACGTCCTTTTTTGTGCTGCTCCTAGTGAACTCTGAAAACGGTATTCTGGTAGGCTTGTCATCAGCGAAGTGTCCCGGCTGATGAAGTCGAATTTCTGCTTTCCCTCGATAACCCGGTAAGTGTTTCTCAGCATCAAAACGGACGGCAAGAATGTCAGAGACGATTTTACCCGCATGCGCGGCGTCACAATCCACTGCGAGATCAGCAAACACCGAGCGACCCTTTGCATCTCCGTCAATGGTCGCTCCAAAATCCCAGGGAAACTCATGAAGAACAGCCGCATAGTCAGCCGCAGCACTATAGTCTCTTCGCGCAAAAAGAAGAAGCATCTTCAACAGCGGCACACGCGTTCCCTCCAATGTAATCGATAAACTACTAGAAGCTGCGGAAACCGAGAATGCAGAATTGTTGCCCGCTTTCCGTGGTGTCGACATCGCTTTTCCGTGCCTCGCAGCAATGTAGCGAGCAACGTCCCCAAGCACCGCAACACGACCAGCCGTTTTAAACTTTCCCTGTGCTGCATCGCAGGTATACACACGACGAGCCAGCTCTTCAGCAAATAATACCCACGTCCACTGCTCGTCTGAAAATAGCCGGCCATCAGTGCACCTCGAGTAATTTGTCCAAGGATTGCGCCACAATCTGGCTCGCCCACTTTCAATTTCCGACCTGAAAAATTTGAAACGCGTACGCGCCAGATGCTGTCAACAATATTATCATGATTAGTCCTCTGCGCAACAATATTATCTTGAAACTGAAGTGCGACCGACCTCCATGAATTTGACCAAGCGCACTTGCAGAGGGGCACGGCTCACGTGCTTAGGCACAGATCATGCTTGGAGAGCACTTATTTGACCAATCACGTCTTCCAGCATTATTTTTTCCCTCTCTGGGATGCCATTTCATGGACAGCGGAATATCGAGGCAAAAGCATCAGGAGAGGTACGCCGTTGAAAAGACAGTAGACGCAGTAAAGCGATAGTGGTCACAACAAAATGTGCGCATCTATTGAGGTTCAGGCTCACAGTATAAGATTCAAAAATCACAATGATGCTTGTACTATACCGTTGCGGAAGATCAAGATGAAGATTGGTAGTAAGAAGCAGGTTGCAAAAAAAGCACGACGCAAGGCTACTTGCTTGAGCCAGGCCTCAGGCGTCTGTTTCGAATTACGCTCAGCAGAGGCAAAAAGGGTTCAGGAGCATAGCGTAGACACTAAACGCAGAAACCTATTTAAGGGACAAGTCTGGACACGTAAGCCAAGAATGCCTAGGGCGCACAAATAGTCCCGGCCAGCGGAACATTACCTAGACTATCTAACCGCGACACGCCTTGAGCGTGTGTCGCGAAGTAAAGAAATATACCATATCGCAGCTTGCGCAGAATCCAAAACGCCTTCTCCCCCGCGTTTGAAACCACGTGAAGGCGCATCGGGAGCCTCAAGAGCGCGGGCAAAGCGTCCCCCCCCTCCTACGGCCTGCACGCATATATTCCGCAAGCAAATAATATCTGCATGCTTGGCTGCTTCTCGTGTCGCTCCATCCTCCACCGTTTTTTTATTGGCACTGCGATCACTCGTATCGATAATATCAAGGCTTTCACAAAACCTCTGAAGCATCTCGTAACGGGGACGAAGAAACCACTCATGGCCACCGCAATTCACGTCGCAAAATCGCTTTCCGGGATCTTCCGCGTCAGGAAAAAACAAGCGCAGACGAGTAAGAACAAAGTCAGGACAGCTCGCCCCCTGACCTGGGCCATGACCAAAAAAGCCAAACACGTCTGCATTTTCGGGAAGGATTCCGTATTCACTGCTGACCAAATCCAAAAATCTAAATGACGGTATTCCAGAAAGGTGCAAAGCAGGCCCACTTATCTTTTTGTAAATTGCACGCTTGATGGCGCTTGCGGAAACATTTCCAAGTGGACCTCCCATAGCTGGCCCGAGATCCTCTGCGCAATACTTTCGCCCGGCTTTGTTGTCCGGGTGAGAATTGAGAAAGTCTGCGTTTGCGTACAGCATGTGGACCTCAGACGAGTCGCTGCAGTGCCATCCACCACGCGCACCCCGTCCCTGCTTCCAAAGGTCCTCACTGAGCTCCCAGAGCTCGCTAACCGTGAGGGCCACAACACTCGGAGACGATTCTTCGGCTGTTTGTTCCCCATCCACGCCATCTTCAGCCGCTACGGAGACCCTTAGAGGCGAGCGCCCGCTTGCCGCAGGACCATGTAACCTTAATCCATCGGCAAAAAGCTGATCAACAGAGAACTCCATCGTGCAATTCAAAGTAAAAGTTATTCTCAAGAAAATGAATCATGCAGAAACTTCTCTCTTGTATGACAGTGGTCTGTAGGTGACTGATTCTCATGACTCAATTTCAAAGCCAAAGCGAGACCTTATCTATACAACAAGAACAGAGAATTTGAAGAAATCATATCAAACAACTGTACAACATAGCTTGAAGTTGAACAAGAACAATCGAACATCGACAGAAACGTACTTGGATGAAAAACAAAACAAAAAACTATGTTAAATATTATCGTGATATTTTTACCCACTAAGATTAGCCTAGCTTTGAGTCTCAAAAAATACTCGCTCCCCAAACAATCTATTTATCACATTAAAAAAACTCAAAGGCCAACATTCAACAGGGCTCCTGTGTGGGTGTGCCAAATCCAGCGAGACAACAATCTAGATTCCGCGATTCTTGGAAAATGGAATACTTCTTGCTATGATTATGAAACGCGTCTTGTACACACAATAGATCAAAAACCACCATTGCTGTGTCTATTTGCTGATTGGTTGGCGTGATCCACGATCTCCAAAGTTATTTCAAAGCACTTATCTACTTGATCATGTCGGTGTCGCTCTCTTTTTTTGAAACCAAACGAAAATGCGATCGTGAGCGCAGAAGATCATGCATTATTAGCTTAATTGCGACTGGTAGTGCTACTCATACATAGAAAAAATGTCTTTTTATATATACTGGTACTTCTCGCGACCTGCACCTGTCGACATCGTCGTGATTAAGCTTAAGCAGGCGATCATTATAACTCTTGACCGATTATACGAGAAGTCACAAGACAGAGAGCAGAAGATATTCATAGTTTATGGTGCAACAGACACACATACAGCCTATTTATCCGACAGATACACACTTCTTCGCAAGCGAGGCATTGTACCTTTTCTGCTGTGTCACCCAGGAACCAAGCGACAGGGACACGATGCAACAACGGATGAAATGAATCTCAGCAGTTTTATCATCGACAAGTACTTAGGTTTTGGGTTTCCATTTCTGTATTTCAGCATCACGAAGATGTACATACAACAATATTGCGGGTCAGTCCACTCACTCTCCCTCTTTTCCAGACGGGTTGTCCGCTTCGGCTTCTTCGTCACAGTCGCTTCTATCTTCACTCAGGTCTGACAGCGTAAAATCCGACTCATCATCGCAGCGCAGCCAAGTGTCTCCGTCAAGCTCTGAGGGTACTACCAAATCACCACTTTGCGCTGGCGTTTTTGGTTGACCCAGTGCTAGACTCAAGTAAGAACCAACACTGATGTTTGCTGCCATTTCAACTAGACCAATTGTATCCCGAGCGTCCATCTCCATTTTGTGCCCTAAATTTCGGTAATACGGAATGAGCACCTCACTTGCCCATGCTTGTGGGAGGGGCTCCCTTTCTTGCAGCTCTGGTAGAGTTTTCAGAAATGTTCGCACGTCTTCAACATTGGCGTCCTCTTGGCAGCACAGTGTTATCCGAAAGAGCGCCGTCGGGAGAGTAATCGGACAGAGCCGATGACAGGAACGAATGGGTAACTGTCTGGTATGCCCGACATTAGCAGCAGATGCTACATCACTCTCCATTCGTTGCTTGAACCTCTGCATGTAAGCATCAGCAGCTACAAAGATATGACGTATAGCATCCGCTGACTCGGCATTCCAATCCAAAATCAGATGTACCAAATTTTGTAGCGCGTCTCTTTCTAAGCACTGGGCCACGTGAGTCAAGCCGTCCCTCCCGATCGGATTTCTCGCAAGGTTGAGTGTATGCAAAGGTGCGTTTCCATCTGCAAGGAAGCGCAAGAAAGTCGCGACTCCCGTACCAGTCAGCTCATTGTCTTGTAAGTCCGCTACCTCGACACTTAGACTATCCAATGCATCATCAATTTTGAAGGTGCTCTGCTGTTCATCGCGAAGGCTCTGCAAACTCGCATCGTTGAGGTAACAACGACGCAACCTCAAGCGAAAAATCGGCTTACTTTGCAGCAGCGTTGAAAGCACACCCGAGTGCCTTTCAAGGGTCAAGTTCGTTTTCTCTAACACCAATGTCAAACTTCTAGTGCTGCGCTTGTTCAGTGCGAAACACATATCTCTCAGCACGGCAGGACAAAGCGGGGGCTTCCAAAATGAATATGGCTGAGGTGCCTTTTTATCGAGTATAGGACAGGCATCAATGCGGCCACGCTCATCTTCGCGTAGGAAAACACAGGTCAGATTAGGCAAGGCGACAAGCAGCTTAGGAAGAAAATCGCAACCCGGATTCAAAATTCGGAAACCATGGATTCCGAATATTTTCAGCGTTTCGAGGGAAGGAAGCCTTTGCAGCATCGGGATCGTGCTTAAGATATTGTACATGTCTTCTGCCTCATCGTCATTGCGGGACCCGCAGAGTACTAAAGATTCTAATTCCGTGAGTCCCCGGAGCCCTCGTTCCAGTCGTTGGGAGTGCTGAAACGGGTGACTCAAAATACCCCGCAATTCTGTCAGGCAGTGGTGGTTCCTCAATATGCCATCTACGAAGACGTCAAGTTGAGCCGGACATTCGTAGTCCCACGGATGCCGGACATGAAGGTTTTTAGCAGGAGTCTTTGAAAAAAAACCCTCCTCAAAGCGGGCCAAAGACTCATGTGAATCCACTATCACGGTAGTTGTGTTCAAGTTGCGAAAACGAATCATCGGCAACGCCACCACCTGATAGTGATACGGCGTTGAAGATATAAACGATGATAATTCAACAGTACATATGCTGTTTTTCTAGACGATAGTGGATTAGTCAATCTGTCTTACTTAGATTCCTAACTTAACACTAATCAAATACACTCGAACGCCTCCTAAAGTTTGACTGTGGGAGTTGCGGTAGAGCGAAGAAGAGGAGAAGGGATATGATCGGAGGTAATAAAGTAAGAAACCGATGAGCTTACCCACGACGGGCAGGGAGGGTCAGGGACCTGATCATGAGCACCCCCTGCGATCAGTCCACCCGGCATCATCTCACGTAATATTAAGAGCAATAAAACTTTGCAAACACATCCCTTCGGAAACCTCAACCTCCAACACCCAAACCCAAAACCTCCAACACCCGAACCCAAAACCTCCAACACCCGAACCCAAAACCTCCGACACAAAAACAAACAAACCCCAAACCCATGAACCCATGAACCCAT